GCCCCTCTAAGACTCATTTGCATAATGAGGCAGAAATTTATCCAGAAATGTAAAAACGACAGTCAGGAATAAATAGCATTGAAGAAATAAACAGGGAAATAAAATACAAAGGAAGATTAAAACAGACAAAAATATTATAACATGCACATAAATAAAAAAAATAAAAAGTAATTAATAAATAAAGTTTATAACAGATAATAAATAAATAAGGTAATTATTACAAAGGTGAATAAATAAAGTAGCTAAATAAAAGAGAAATATACATTTATGTCTCACTGTATAATTTAAATTCTATCTACATTTATTCATTTATTGTATTTTGGGGGCAATTAATTGTATGCTTATTTATTTATTGAGCATTTATTTATTTATGTATTTATTTTTAGATATGTTAAAGCTGGACAACCTGGAAAAAAACAAATTAAATTAAAATAATCACAAGACAAAAGGAACAGCAGACCTTTTACCTACGAGGCAACATGCATTGAAAGGCCCCGACCCACAGGCTGAGAAACACTTGACTTAGGATTAGGTAGCTGTTAAAATATCTTAGTTAGTTTTAGTGTCATTTGTTGTTTTACTCAGAATTAATTGTCTAAGGAAAGGAAAAGTTTGCTTGATGACATTCAGCTTGGATTTAATGTTTTTTATTCAGACTGTCCAGCTGTGGAACATCCATCAGAAGACACGAAGCTCAGAGTTATAATCTGATCCTCTTGGGACGTCTGTCTTTGTGAGGAAGACATAAATGGAGTTGCAGTGTTTTATGTCCACAGCGGCTGACGTCATGATGTGAAATAACTCAGTCAGACCACACAAGTTTCTGCTCAGCTCACAATCTGCAGCCGGACGGCGGACAGTGCAGGGACTGTTGGCTGCACAGCATTAGTGTCACCAGAACATGAAGCCGATGACCTACGGCTGCTTAACGTTCTCCGGCTGTGTGTGGCAGGGTGTTAAATGAGCCTGGGTGTCACCTACCGGTCAGTCTGACAGTGAAGGGCTCTCTGGGACTGAAGGGACATTTTCCTCGTCCTGACTCAACTGTGTGGGACAACTTGAACATGGGCCTCTGCAGGACGGAAACAGGGAGGGGAGGGGGACATGGGCCACACACAAACACAGAAAGAGTGAGTGATAAAGTGACCTGTAGCCTCATCACTGCACATACTTAACACCAACAAAGCATCAACATTCAGCAAATTATTTCACATTTTAGATCCGTTGTCACTTATTAACAGACTCTGGTTCCAAAGGACTTATCTAGAATAACCTGATCCACATCTCTAGGCTATAGAACTCAGAAATCTAAAATGTTTAATTTTCATGCTTTCAGTTGAACATCAATTACTGTATTTCCACCTCTGATTTGACCTCCTCAGGAGTAAAACAAGGCTCCATACTGGGTTATTTTCCTTTAACTTCCAAAAAACACTTTTTGCAGATGACTACCAGGTTTGCTTTGCACTGAGGTGCACCGCTGACTGCTCTGTTCAGCCAGGAGAAATTGTTATATGGAAGCACCTGCATTTTAACACCAAGACAAGTCACCAACATTTACACCTTCCTCGCATTTGCTGCACTACACGGACATATTTAACAGGTATTTATAAGAATGTAATATAACAGTATCATAGAAAACAACTGAACAGTCAAATAGCCACTAAGTATTTACTGTGTGATGGACGAAAGAAATAAAATGAGGAATAACCCAGTGTGATGATGAACAGGTCCCACCTGTTAGAACAATGTTTTTATACTTCATCTGCTGCCAACTTTCCCCCCATAATGTTTTCAGATTAAAAGAGGCTATGGCAGGTTGGTTTTAATACTTATTAGTTTGTCTGAATATGTATTTCTGATATCTGAAATATATATATTTTTATATATATTTTTCTTGTCAAAATGAAAATTTCAAACAAAATTCATTTCAATTCAGTTTATTTCTATAGCTCCAATTCACATCAAGGCACTTTCCAGTTCACCAGATCATCCAGTCAGATTGATTCAAAGTTTTCTATCTAAGGAAAACCTGCTGATTGCATTGACTCATTGACTC